AAGCCCATTTATTAATGTTGATTCTGGTTAGTTCTGCAAGTTCGCAAACCAATAAGGCCTAAAAACGTTCTGGGAATAAACAATTAATGACTAAACGATAGGCGAGGTGGTGATGACTACATTGCGACCCAGTAAAAGGGTAATTGCATACATTTGTTGTTCAACTGCGTTTCTGAAAAGATTTGGACCAATTTTGCACGCATACTCTTTGGTTTCGGTAGCGTAGGCTATTTCACCCAGAAAATATGGATCGATTTTTGATTTTACGCACTACGACCTAAGGAGCTGGAAATTATGTATGGGCAAGAAAATGCTGATTGCAAACATGACCTTAGCTACGTAAACATCAGCTGAATGCCAAGTTTTCTCAATTTTCCGCTTGATTGCAAGTTAACAGAGGTAAGCTAACGTGCTGATTACGATCATGATATCCATCAAGAAACACATTGAACAGATTTATTGGTGTAGTGAATGCTGCACTTTTAATCTAGATTGCTGCAGACTACAAATTGTGAAACAATCGTTTCAGTGCTTTTTGAAAATCTCGCTTCAAAGTTTTGGTTCTCATTGTGCAGGATGCCTAATATGCTAGAAATAAACAACCACATTGCTCAGCACGCGTAATCAATGTTTTAAAGGTTCCATTACCTTTACTAAACCTCTGAATGGAGTAAACGACCGATAGACTTTGCAAAGATAAGAATTAAAAAGAGAAACCAGCCTGGTATAGCGGCCATGTCGGCTAGCAATAAAACGAATTACTTACATGACCCTCTGCTGTCATTGAGTTTGGAGTTTATAAACCTCTAAAAGCACTTTTAATTTAATACAACCCATACTGGATGCGTCTGCATTGTAGACTCATCAGACACTGTAACACATTCTCCAAGCTACCACATAGTAGTGTCTAATTTTCTTTCAAGGGAGAGCAGTGGAAGTGGCGATTCAACGGAGATACACTAGACAGCTTGAAACACTAATTCCCAATCTGACTTCCTTATTGAAGCATTTCTCTGAAAGAAATTGTAAATGTTTTTCTCTTTCAAATTTAGCCTGTACTGCCTGTCGATAACTGATAAATAACCTTAATCCAACCTAAAACATTTGGAGCATTTTTATAAAAGTTATTTCTGAAATGTTGTTACATCAATAATAATTTCTTGCCTCCATACTAAGCTTTTTCGTTGCTGTTTTGAGTCAGGGTCAAATTTTCGATAATTTATGTGGGTCGAGCCATAATTTCAAAGAGAAAAAGTTCACGCTTTTTTTTTCAAAGAAACGCTTTGCAGATATGGAAGACATATTTGAATCCAGTGTTTTAAACTGCATCGACCAGCATGCACCATTTTTTGCATCGTCCAATGTCAATGACTATATATTTTGTTCCTTTGCTAGTTGAAATAGAATATTTGTCCGTACTTTGATGATTATTAAAGATAAATAGGCGGTAAGTTTCCAAGGCATAGCATATTTTGAACTTGCAGAGAACTGAAGTCATAGATGGAACAGTCAGCGTCTACCATGATCGAGTTGTACAATACCAGTTAAAAAGCATGCAGGTATCCTTTGTTGTACCGAAAAAAGCAATAATTCTTCAAAATTGCTCTATCAAACTTTATTATTTCAGTACTTAGGGCCAATTTTAATGGGTATTGGTTCCTTCATCTTAATCATTGCCTGCGTTGTAACTTTGGAAAGCCGAGATAAACATGCACAGGTGCATAAAGCAGTAAATTCATAATGTGATTTCATATTTTGCCTTTTTCAGGTGATCACGGAAGAATCAATGTCATTCAAGCGAAAACGACTTATGTCAATCGAGGAGCGAGCCGAATTGTCGGCAAATGAGGTTGTGCTAAGCAAAGACTCTCCGATCACTCCTACTGAAGTTTCTGAAGTTCAAACAACGAACCAGTTCAGGTAAACTGCTTGATAATTAAAAATTCTCATTAGCACTTTTCTTCTTGACATCTTCAGAATTTGAATTGACTTTATTTCAGCATAAATACTTTGGCTGAGGTTCATCGCCCACGCATTTCTCCTAATGCTCCGCTAGCGGAAATGGACTCCCTGGTAAATTTTTAATAAAATTTCATACTGGGCACTTGCTTTTGCTCAACTAATTTGAAATCTCTT